CACTCTTTCTAATTGAATATTAGTTAGAACCAATATCACCACCCTATCTCATTTTGCTCCATTGTCGTGCCACCCTTTTGTTTTTGTGTGGTGTGAGTGAGGGGTGTGTGTGTGTGCCCGAACGTGGGAGAGAGAGAGGGAGAGATAGAGAGGAGCTCAAGAGCACCTCTTGCCATTCTTCCGTTTGCAGCTCCTCCACTCACTCCAGCCGGGCCCATTGGCGGATTCCGGCGACCGTGAACGACGTGTTTCCGCTGCCCATCGAAATGAAGGTATGCCTAAATCCCAAATAAGAATTTTTTTGTGGCATTTCAGATTTTAAGCTAGATTAGTGTTTTTGATCTTGTTTAGATCATGGTTAGATCATTTTAAATCTAACAATTGGTATCAGAGCCAACTTATTTGGGTTTAGAGCTATGTATTTTCGGATTTTTCCATTTTTGGTGGAAGGAAAATTCGAAATTTGAATCCGTATTTGGCTCAAGGAAATGTTGTTTTGAGGTTACCCACTTCATTTATGGCTCATAGGTGATGATTTCCTTGAGTTTGGTGGGTCAATTTGGCTGGAATCACTGCGTTTTTAAGCTTTAAAACGGCCGGTTAGGGGTTTTTAGGGATCTGATTTTTAGGCCTTATTGAGAGAAATTAATCCCAGAATATGAAAGAGCACGAAATTTTGAACAAAACCCCTTTCGAATCATCAAAAGCGGAGTTATAGATAGGAAGTTATGGCCATTTGAATTTTCGGGTTGGAACCGGGTCGCAAAACGGGTCTCGTGACCCGTCTCAAGGTTGAAGACGACCAGAAAGAAAAAAACGCGTCAGCGCCCACGTGGCGCGCTTGGGACCCAGCGAGCGTCAGCGCGTGTCAGCCACGCGTCAGTGCTTATGTGGCGCGCATGGGGCCCATTTTTGGGCTAAATTCCTCCCTATTTTGTGATTTTAACTCCGTTTTGAGCGACCGTTGTGTTCCGTTTTTCATTTCCTACCTAATTAAATGATTTATTTTGGGTTTGGGCTACCATAAAATCATGTTTTTTAATATTTTAATATTATTAATTTTATATTTTTATGGGTAGTTAATTCTCACAATTTTTAAACAAATTTTTCCTGATCATTTCGTATACAATTTGTTTGATGATTGACGCCATAAAATTATTATGTTGTTATTATATAGCATATATGTAATTATGAGAATTCGACAATAGTAAATGTTTATGTACTCACCTCTCGTGAGTCTAAATATGTCAAATTGTCTGAGTATGTTACGGAGCTCTCCCACAAAATTTAACATTTCCTTTCGAAAAAGGATTGGGATACACACTCTTTACATGGATACACATGAGATCCCAGCAAATATTTTTATTTAAATATTTGTTTATTGTAATAATTTTCATATATTTTCTAGGTAGTTTTAATTCTCACTATTTTGAGACCTAAAATTTCAGGGCATGTTTGTTACTCCATATTATATGGTCATATTTTATTTGTTCTCCCACTTAATTTGATATTTTGGTAAATAAAATTTAGACATATACTATGGATGTTTGTTTAAATTTTTGAAATGCCCATTTTGTGTTTAATGTTTTAATGCCTAATTATTTGTATAGGCATACATGGTCTCTTTTGTGTTAAAGTGAGAATGAAAATTTTAATTAAAAGCTCGTGTGCTATTATAAAGCTTAAGCTATAAGTTTATCCATAATTTATTTATTATTGTTATCATTATTATTTGATATCTTGTTTTATATGAGTATCATGTGTTTTGATTATGCTATCCAAGTGGGAGAAAATTAGAAACATTTTTTTTGTGGATTAGCATAAATACTAGTATCAAATAATAAATTGTGAGATTATATGGATAAACTTTATTTGTTGATTATGTTTTGAAAGTCCATACGGGTAATGGAATTATCCTATCGATAGTTTTATTGCTTGGTAGGACACTTGAGTCTTGTTGGAGATTAAGCTTGTTGTCTTTATTCATGTATTTTGGTTACATATTATTATTTGACATTTTGTATTATATGAGTATTGTCGGCATTGATTATACAGTCCAAGTAGGAGAATATTGTGAATGATTATGAGTGGACTTGCATAATCACTAAACTCATATTATAGTCAAATAATATATCAGAGTGTTAAGAATAATGGTATGTATTTACCATATTGTTAAGATCCATACGGGCAATTAAATTATTCTATCGATAATTAACTGTTTGGTAGGATACTTAGACCGGTGAAGGAAGTTTGTTGGATGTCATTAACCGCATAATCTTTACTACCCTATCGGTGGTGGATTGATGCATTTGGTTGTGATGTTTGATGAATTATCCTTACCTGCGAAAGAGTTCTATTCTTGCTCAACGAACTCTAGCACACAATGATCATATTGGCTTAGATCATTGGGAAGGCTAAGTGAAGAGCAAATTGCATGATCTTGTTTTACATGCCTATTGTTAGTTGCCCCTGTTGTTTTCTTTAGCCTTGAGCAATCCTTGTATCTCCGCTATTTTGACGTTAAATGGGACAAGTTATCATTAATGGTGTGGATCTCTCTTTATGAATTCATGGTGTTAGAACTGACATAGCCTTGAGAGTGGATGTGTTTTCTAGCTCCACTAATGTGTTGAGAAACTCTATGATGATGAGTGGGAGTGTATGGATAAAATCGAGGCAGTAGCGTCTCAATTTTTGGATGAGACAGTCACTTTATGGAGAACGTTGTTGATAAATGCATATGTGTAAGGTTAGTGGGAGCAGTTTCATGTTCATGCTTTTTATGTCGGTGACAACTTACTCGCACCTAATGATTCTGACCTACTGGTTAAGACGAATAGCATGTAGCCTAGTCACTTTGATTTGAGAATCTTAAAGAAGCCTTTTATGTTCTAGGCATGTAGATTCTCCGTGATAAGGATAAGTGCATTTTGTGGTCGTCTCAGAGAACTTTTATTGTTCTTGTTTCGAACAGGTTCAGTATGCATTCTTGTTCTCCTAGTAAGCACTGTTTGTTAAAGTGACAAACTCTCAAAGGTGAATGTCCTTATGGTGAAGTAAGAGAGATCAAATAAAGTTGTCCCATTTGCTTACGTCTTTAGCAGCCTAATGTATGCTCAAGTATGCACACGTCTCATTATTGTGTTTATTGTTGACGTGCAGATTCGGTACTTGAGTGAGTGTTATTATTACTAAATTAACTGGGAATAAAGTACCAGATAGTTGTGTATCGGCGAACCAACACTTTTGTTATAGTTGGATCTCGTAATGCCGATTATGTAGGCTGCTTAAATGATAAGAGGAAGAGCTACTTTGTTAAAAAGTGTCAAATAGGCACTCGTAGCGTCCTTGACTGTGATGCGGAGTATGTGACGTATCGTGAAGCTATTTATGTGATGTAATTGTGAAACATTGTTTCAGCATTAGGAGTAGTTCACTCAATTTTTGGACCGGTTGATGTTGTGCTGTGAAAGTTTCGTAATAGTATATTTCTCTTAGAACACCATGAGCATTGTCCGCTCAAGCATAATGATAGTGTGTTCTGTTTTGTGAAGAGAAATTGTAAAATGCCTCATCGTTATTGAAAACACGCCTATAAACAACATGTTGGCAGTTCCCCTAAAGGCCTACCTATTAGGTGTTTTAAGAACGCGCATCCCACTCGGGACTATAAGGAGCCTGTAGTTGTATTGAGTTAGTGGGAGTTTACTGCCATTTGTGTGTGACATGTTGTTATTGATAAGGATTGCTTATGCCTCAAATAATACATGCGTATTCATGGATCTGTCACTTTATGTGTGATGTTGTGTTGACACACTTTTTAATTGGCAAAGTGACAAGTTGAAAAGAGACATCTAGTCGTTAGTCTCTATCATTGGTTTTGATCCATGTATTAAAGTTGTCATCATGCTTTGATGAATCTCTAGCGTCTGATTATATATAATGATTGTATCCTATCGATACGTTATTATGCATGATTGTTTTGGGCTTGTGTTTATTATGTGAGATTCTTAGCTGATGCTTATGCTGTGATGAGTGAATGTTCGTTCTATGATTATGTCGTCCAAGTGGGAGATTGTTGGAATATTTGTATGTGGACTTCCATAATCATATTAATTCACTCTGTAATTAATTAAAGCATCTTATAGATGACTGTGTTAATTTGAATTAACACATGCATGTATGTTAAATATCAGTCCATAATGGGATGGACACTTGTTTTATTAACTCGCTTGAGGCATTTGAACTCATTCTATCTCATAATATTTGGTCAACCCATTAGACCAAATACCCTCTCTAATTGAATATTGGTTAGAACCAATATCACCACCCTATCTCATTTTGCTCCATTGTGGTGCCACCCTTTTGTTTTTGTGTGGTGTGAGTGAGGGGTGTGTGTGTGTGCCCGAACGTGGGAGAGAGAGGGAGAGATAGAGAGGAGCTCAAGAGCACCTCTTGCCATTCTTCCATTTGCAACTCCTCCACTCACTCCGGCCGGCCCATTGGCGGATTCCGGCAACCGTGAACGATGTGTTTCCGCTGCCCATCGAAATGAAGGTATGCCTAAATCCCAAATAAGAATTTTTTTGTAGCATTTTCGGATTTTAAGCTAGATTAGTGTTTTTGATCTTGTTTAGATCATGGTTAGATCATTTTAAATCTAGCACTCCCTTGGTAAAAGTCACTTCCTTTTTTGTTTTTTCATTGTTCCTTTTCTTTTGGGGGTTAAAATATATCAAAAATTAAGGCTTGTTAATTTCACTGATTCGAGTTTAAAATTTAAGTTTTATTATAGTAAAAAGTTCTCAAAAATAATCACATCTAATTTTTTTACTACAGTAAAAAATTCTCACATAAAATCATATCTTAACTCAAATTAAAAACTCGAATCAGTGAACTAATCGGACCTTAAATATATTAACGAAAGTTTGCTCCTTTATGCTAAAATGGAAGTCAGTAATTCTATCAAAGAAAATGAAAGTAAGTTTATTATGTTTTGTTTCTTCTTCATCTACAAATCTACTGAAAAAAGGCTCTAATAAATAGGGATTTCGTCACAATGCTTTGCTTTGTATTCTTCTCTTTTCTTTCACATAATATTGCTTTTTATTCGTCGTGTTATTTGAGCAGGTCATGAATTTTAGTTGTCTTTTTTATGGTTTCTTTTTTTTTTTTTTTTTTTTGTGGGTTTCTTTGTGATCCTTGGTATAGATATGTATCTGTTTACTTTAATTTGTTCCATTATGTCTATATGGGTTTGTCACATCTATGCGCCTGATGATCTATGAATACTTTGTGCTCGGGAATTTCTTTTCCTTTTATTTATTTATTTACTTTTGTGATTGGGAAATTTGGGATTTGGCTGCCGTATATGTGATTATTTTAACTTTTAACCCTCCATTAATATTTTCTCTACCATTCAAGACTTAATCAAGTAGAATATATAAAAGTAGCGAGAAGCAAGCATCCTTGAAAATAAAATAAAAAATAAAAAAAATAAAAAGTTTGTTACATTGTTCCTTTCTACGATTGTATATATTGGTTTCTGTTTGCAAGTTTTGTTCAAGGAGATTGTTAATTATGTGTTTGGTGAATTATCGTTCAGAAATGTGCCCCTTTATTATATTTTTTGTTAAGGTTGTTTCCTATAATTTTGGTGTCACCCATAAATTCCAAAAGGGCCGTTTTCAATCTACGAGCTTGTTGTTTATGAGCACTATTTAATTATTTTGTGCTTAGTAATGATAATTTTCTTCTTATAAATCCATGGGATTGTCACAAGCTACAAACTATCTTCCCTGTATAATGTGGACTTAATTTCAGCTTTTATTTCATTGTTCGTTTTACAGTTGACTTGGTGCTTTCTTCAAGTTGATTTTTGATTTATTACGCAACAATTCTTTTCTTTTTTTTACCTTTTTGTTGACACTTGACAGTACTATAGTACCAATTGAGTACTTGCCTACACCATGTCTCTGCATGTGATTGGTCTTCTAGCTCGAGCTTTGCCGCCTTGTTCATCTCAAACTGACGGCGGGGCTAGTGGCGTGACCAATATTGGGGGCTGATAGTACTTTGGGCAATTCTGTTGTGGTTTATCTTTTTCATATCTGCAGGATGATGATGCAGCCCCAGGGCATGCAGGTGCTCGCATTGGCGCTGCCGCAGTTCCATAGCAAGATTGAGATCGGCATGCAATTTAGGCTGCAGATCCAGAGAGATCACCTGTTTTTCCCAGTTGGACTTGCTATATATTTATATGTGTGTATATATATATATATATAATATACATTGATTCTTATCAGATACGTCATTAAATTTTTATATATGAAAGTCGTCATTAAATTTTTATATATGAAAGTCGTTACTGATGAGAACGTTAAAAACTCGTATATATTAATGTGCATGATGACATTACTAATAGGAACGTTAACTAGTTTGTTTTGTTTTGCATTTTGTCTGTTTAACTCGTGTAGGTTAATTTATGTTCTAGATCAATGATGAGGGAGGAGTGCGAGGCCAAGAGCTTTTAGACTGAAACCAACAAAATTGTAATGTTCATATCGCTTTCACAATTTAAATATTACAAAAGAAGAACAAATAAGGAGAAAAGTTGAGCTAGCGCGAAACTATCATTTTTCAAACGGAAAATGAACGCAAATGAGATGAAATAACTTTCATGGATATCTGAATAGCCGTATTTGTGATTTCTTCTCATTTGTTGTTATAACTAATAGCAGCTCAATCGAGGTCAAGTACGGCCATACTCCACTGTTGTTTTGATTTTTCTTACTTAAATTCACTTTTTTACTTAAGTTTTTAATTCGAACGCGTGAAACGAACGAAACCTAAATATTGATCCGAATAAGTTTTTTCTTCTTTCACTTTTTTACTTAAATTTTTAACTCAAATGCGCGACACGAATGAAACCTAAATATTGATTCGAATAAGTTTTTTCTTCTCCTAAGAAAGTAAAAAAAATAAAAACAAAAATGTTCCCATTAAATAAAAAGAAGAAAACCGCTATAAACTAGAAATATAAAATGTAAAACAAACATGATCAATAAGAAAAATGAATTTTTGACGATATAAAGTATGTTATTTTGCCTCAACCGATAAGATAACTCCTTTTAATCATTTGATTAATTTTTGACGCTCCACTTTATGAATGTTCATATTAAAAAAAAAATATCACAAGCGCAACAAAAGTGCTCTTAATCATCAATTAGGTGTCATATACAATTGTTGAAAAACCTTATCCTATTGGTAGGGCAAAAGAACATGCCCTACTATAAAATTAAAAACAAAAAACAAAAAACAACAAACAAAAACAAAGTTGAACCAAAACTTCCACTAGATCAAAGAAAAAAGACCTTATTAAATTTTTCAAAATTAAAAGTTTGTAGTTCAATTTGCCATACCACAACAAGTTTAGAGGCAAATGTGTTAAAAACTTAATTACGAAATTTAAAATTTAGAGGGTTAGTTGCTTAAAAATTTGAGGACAATTATACTAAAAACTCAAATATAAAATATATGGCAATTTGTTTTTGTTGAATTAGACAATATAACAAATAATAACAAATTATAAATAATTTTTCCATATCCTCAAAAATACATTACATAACAAATGTAAAAAAGAAAAAAAAAATTATCTTTTCAGAAAAATGTTGTATAACCCGACGGGGATATTCTTAAACTATCATAAAGAGTGGCCCCACTTGTAGGACTCATGTGAAACTTACTTATAGAATCCACATTTTATAAGAGAGTGGGGATTTAATCCCACGAGACAAATAAGATTATTTTATTTTTTAACACGTCTAGATAAAAAAAATGTTTGAAAAAGGGAAAAAAAAAAAAAAAAGAGAACATGGAACAATAAAGGTGAAAATTCTGGCCGTCTGGTCCAGCACCCGGCCCGAATGGGATATTTTCAATGAGCAGGGCAGGACGAGGGTCAGCCCAATCTGACTCTAAAACTCAACAGAATTAGGTCTTAGGGCCGAAATTTATAAGGTATTTTTAATAATAAGAAAATTAAAAAGATGTTGCCCGAAGAGATTTCAGGCTTAAAATTTAGACTCGGCCCAATCTGATCCGGCTCAAATACTTAAGTGTGTGGGAACCGGGCCTATGGCTTGGCTTGTTCAGTGCGGCCTAAACTTGCTGTTTAGACGGGAAGTATGTTCTAAGAAAAATAGACGGAACCAGACGACAAGTAAGATCTAGGGGATGTTTGGTTAGAGAATTCAAACCATGATTTAAATTATGGTTCATGATTCACTACAGTATTTTTTCTCATAAAAAATACACAAAAATTAAAAATAATTATAATTACATGATTCTAATCCATGAACTAAACGTCTTCCTAGTTAAAATGACGTCGTTCTCTGTTCCACTGTCCACAAACCTTTTTTGTTTTGGTGAAAAAAAAAATTAAGATCTGTTCGTCCCTGCACTATCAGCGACTCAGTCTGCTCTTGGAAGCCCTGCAAATCCCTGTGAAATCAAAGAGAGAAGAGCAGCATCCATGGAAGGACTAGTCATAGTCCAATCGACGCCCATCCAAGCCCCGAATCCTCCGAGCTCAGCCCAGTCTCTCCATCCTCAACCTCCTCCCTCTTCCAAGAAGAGACCCCTCGACAATGACTCCCTTTCACACCACTCCAAACCCCTCAAGCTTCGTCTCCTTCTCAAAGATCTTCGTCCTCATTTTCTCGAGGTTTTAATTCCTCTACTTTGTCTCAATTTTTGCTGTTTATGCAGATTTATGTAATATCATTTCTGGGTATTTGCAATTTGCTTCTCATAAGCAGTTTTATATATATTTTTGTTCTTTTTTAATTAACTTGTTTGATAACTTTGGGCGGTTTTTGTTCTTAATGCTTCTTCCAATTTAAATCCCATTTTGCTTAACACTTTCTTAAGCACTCTAGAAAGGTTTTTTTTTTTTTTTTTTTTTTTTTTGTAAACACTAAAAATATCTTTGATAACATTATATTTTGTCAAGGTTGAGAAATGTTGCATTTTTTTCATGAGCCAAAATTCCTGAAATTTCTCAGTTGAGGATATGATCACTCCTATTTCATTTGTTTCTACATTAGTTAAGTAGTTCTTTCTTTTTAGTACATTATGCGAATGTGTTCAGGCTTGAAATCTTCCTGTTTTCTTGAAGGTTCTCCGGACCCCGGACTTTCGGAACTGCAAAGCAGCGAATGAAATTCATGAACGTAAGTTCATTGAGATGCTTTACTTTCCCTCCACAATAATAGCTTTCAAATTTACGTCCCAGTTCCATAACTTCTCCTTTCTTCTGCAATTGTATAGGCATAGCATAGTCCTTAATTGTTGTGCTGTTTATTTGCATACAAATGGAATGGTGCTTACAACTTACCATACAAATAGTCCCCATAGCATGTTGTGTTTGCAAAGATTTCAATGTTCTTCACATAGCTAAAGATTTTTTTTTTCTGTCCTTCATTGATTAATAAAATTAACTCGCGTTTCTTTTTCCAAAAAAAAAAGGGGGGAAAAAGAAAAAAGAAAAAATGTTCTTCACATAGCTAAAGATCATATTCTCAAATGTAGTGAGTGTTGGCAATCCATCTGTTCTTCAAAAGCACAAAGCAATTTAGTACAATTGTCCTCGAACTTGTCGTGGTTTAGCAAATTTCTGTCTAAACTTTTAATTTTGACAACCAACTCCGTGAAGTTGTAAAATTATTGTAATGTGCCCCATTATACTAAATTTGCTCAAATTTTTTAATAGATTTGAGGGATTAAAAGTTGAGGAGTTGAAAGATTTCTGCTGCATTTGAATTGGGATGATGGTATTTTTCGTTGAATGTGCTTTTTTAACATTAACTTAATACAATCATCGCCAAAATGGGACATATTGCAACAATTTTGCAAGTGAGGGAGCAACTAGCCAAAATTAAAAGTTCAGGGGGAAGTTGCTAAAACCATATATGTTCAGGGGGAAAATATATAAAATAACCGCCGAATTTTATAACCAAAATTTATGGTGTGTAGCTCATAGAGCATTAGGATAGGTGCCATCAATTTTATAAATTTTCTCAGGAGTCTACACCGCTTAATCTTGGGGTGAATGTTTCTTGCACTTGCACTTGAGTTTCCAAGCTCACAATGTTGCTTATTGATTGATGAGATATGCTAATTGCACTTGTGAGTCGCATGAGCACATGATTAGGACTGTTGATTCTTGTGGGCCCAATTGGGGAGAGAGGGGGTGGGGGAGGGGTGCAGAAATTAGCGGTTCAGATGCGGTTCAGATGCTGGCCTTGCGAGTGTTAGCATTCCTCTTGATTGATATATCTATGGAAATTCGGGTTGTATAACTTGTTATTGTTCTGGAACTATGCTGATCTGTTTGTAAACCTGCAAATTACAGAGATGAAGCTTCTGGTAGAACTGTACAATCAGATGATAACAGAGACAGTTTCTGTTGGCAAAAAGATTGTGACAGAGAGGCAGCCATCATTACCAAGTGAGAACAAGGATGGTCAAAATCCATCGGAGAAGGCGTCAGCTGAAACTAGTGATATTTCAGGGACATATATTGTTGGAGGATCAGCTTTCGGCTGGAATTTCATCACGTATTCTGGAAAAGATCCCGTGTATTATGGAGTGACTAAGGAATCGTTTCGTGCAAAAGCAACTCCTCCGCCATCCCAGTAGAAGTGCCTCTGCAGCCAGGAGCCGCTGCTTCTACTACGTCGGCGTTCACTTTCCGGTTACAGCAGAAGTAACTGGAAAAATGCGGTCGCCTCCTATAGAAATTCCTGCAGCCTACCCCATGATTGTACGTGTAGTGTAGAAGTATCCAATTGTCAAAGCTCTAATATTTATAGCGTGTTCAATGTCTGTCTCATGGTCTTTATTCAAGCTCCTGAAAGACAAAAACCGTGCTACCGCTTTCTTTTTGATTGAGAAAGAACCAAATGAAAATCAGATGTACTGCAATGAGAATTTGTTGAACCAAGAATATTGGTCTACCTTCCTGGGATTTTATCATGCTTTGATATCCATTATCCATTACACCACTGACACGTGGCACATTCGTGTATGATCTTATGAAAAGAAAAGGGAAAAAAAAACTGTTATTGTCTTTTTATGGTGATATTTAATAACGGTTTTGTTGCTTGAATTATGAATTTTTATTTGTTTTGCGGGAGATTTTCTTGGTTTCTTGATCTCTGCATTTTATGCTGGTCATTATGCAACCATAAAACAAACAAACAAACAAACATATAAATAAGTAAATAAATAAAGGCACAAGGCATTATTCAATAAGTCATTAACCGTGGGGGCCTGGTTAAGCCACGATCCTCTCGGCCTCTCGTGAGGGCATCGCCATCAAGTAATATCAGACCACGTTTCTTCTTTCTTCGTTATCGTGCGAGGGACTTGTCGTTTTGTTTATTGCCTAACCAGTTTGTTTTTCACTTTTTTTTATATATATTAAAAAAATATCATTTTAAAGCAGCACGGGTCCATAGCTCAGTGGTAGAGCATTTGACTGCAGATCAAGAGGTCACCGGTTCGAACCCGGTTGGGCCCTTCCATAATTTTGTTTTGTGAAAATTGTATGGATATATTATTTAATAAGATTCATCTCAAAAGTTGCAATTGATGAAAGAAGCGTAATTAAATCCTTGTTACGTTTGGTTTATGTATTCAGAATCATGATTCATAATTATTTTTGTTTTACGTGTATTTTTTTGTGAGAAAAAATACTATAGAAAATCATTAATCATGATTCAGAATCAATGACGAATATAGGAAACAAACGTAATATCCAGAATCAGATTTAGGAATCTATCTCAAGCACTACTCGTTCAGTCTACTTATAGATATTTGAACTTGGGACTCCTACTCTAATATCAACTGATATAAGATTGACGCAACCATTCCTCTCATAAGTTAAAATTGATGGGAGATGACTTTGAGAAGTCTCTTACGAATTTGTGGGTGCACCTTACTTACGAATTTGTGGGTGCACCTAACGGACAAGCTCAAGTACTTCTTCGAAGACCAGGCCACGTAGACTGCCTCCCAAGTTCAAATATGATCCTGCATCACCTATGTTTGTTTCACTAGTTTAGTTCAGTTCAACTCAGTTTGAATAGTGAGCACAGTTTGAATTGGCGTTTGGTAAGCATGTAGTTTGAATTATATCCCTCTTTTGAATTGAGTTAAACGACCCAACTTAGAATTTAATTCTCTCATCAAGTTCAATTGTTCAAACCATTTTTTAATAGTAAAAAGTGTCTACTCTCTACTTTTCACACTACCAAACACAAATTTGAATTTTATTCTTCGTTTGAATTAAAACTTTAACTACACATCCAAATAGTGCTGAAACTTTAAGAAATTGTTCTTCTTCGATGTTGAATTGGGCATTAATGGGAATATCACCACCATAACCATAAGAAGCCATTATGAAAAATAAGAGAGATTGATAGCATTTTGAGAGAGATTAAGAGAGATCGAAAGAGATTTAATCGAGATTAAGAGATATTTGAGAGATATTTGAGAGAGATTTAAGAAAGATTGAGAGAAATTGAGAGAGAATGAGAGTTTTTGGGTGAGGAAAATGGTTGGGGGGAGGGGGTATTTATAGAAAATTTTTTGGCTTGAAAAAAAAAAAGTTTTCGCTAAAATTTTGGGTCCAACGGCTAGTAAAATTTTGGGCACTCAAGTCGGTTCGGGCATTGGGCAACGATCAAAAAAATAGCCATTGGGGTTTAAATTTTTGGGCAAAAATCATGCGGCGGTCGGGTTCGGGCAAAAAGATCCGTTGGGGTCAAAATTCAGGCAGAATTCGGGCTAACGGTCAAAACATTTCAGGCATTTTCGAGCATCGGGTAAAATTCGGGCTAATGGTCAAAAAAATTCGGACAAAATTTGGGCATATACGAGCAAATTCGGGTTACACCGGAAAATTCAAAAAAAAATCCGGCGGACGGCGAGGACGACTTCTCCACCGGCGGCGGGCAGCCGGGAAATGATTCTTTTCGGGTTGCCCGAGCCCATGCCCGACCAAATACCTCAGACGGGCGGCGAATGGCACCTGCCCGCCGTGCCCAAAAATTTTTGGGCACCGGGCATGCCCGCCGCCCAAAGTTCCACCACTACATCCAAACGTCAATTCAAACTACACATTTTGAATTTTTTGTTCAAATTAAAAAGTTCAAACCAATAAAATTCAAACTAGCGAACCAACTGATGCCCCCTCAAAAGCGCACCTATGGGTATTTAAACTTGAGACCTCCTACTTTGATACCAACTGATGTAAGATTGACGCAACCATTCCTCTTAAAAATTACAACTGATGGGAGAAACGCAATCAAATTCTTTAAACATCACCCAAGACCAGATTGAGAAATCCATCCCAAGCAGTACTCGTTTGGGCCCGTACTTCGAGAAGTCCCTTACGAATTTTTGGGCGTACCCAACAGACAAGCCCAAGCACTTCTTCGAGGCCCAGGCCACGTAGACCGCCTCCCAAGTTCAAATATGATCCTGCATCACCCATGTTTGTTTGACTAGTTTAGTTCAGTTCAACTCAGTTTGAACAGTGAGCACAGTTTGAATTGGCGTTTGGTAAGTATGCAGTTTGAATTATATCGCTCTTTTGAACTGAGTTAAACGACTCAACTTAGAATTTAATTCTCTCCTCATGTTCAATTGTTTAAACCATTTTTTAACAGTAAAAAGTGTCTACTCTCTCATTTTCACACCTATTAAACACAAATTCAAATTTTATTCTTTGTTCAAATTAAAACTTTAACTACACATCCAAACGTTAATTCAAACTACACAATTTGAATTTTTCTGTTCAAATTAAAAAGTTCAAACCAGCAAAATTCAAACTAGCGAACCAAATGAGAGTTAATCATTTAAAGAAGCCTCCAATTTTTGCAATATAAAAAATGATATTAATTACTATATCATTTAAGTCTTATAATATCATTTTTTTAATTATTCGTGCTCATTATTTTAAAAGAATTTGTATGTAGCTTTTGTAGTTTAAGATTTTGACATGTTACTCTTTAATTCTCTGCTACAAATTTAATGTTTTATATTTTGCAAAAATCTTTCAATTTTCTTCTATACTTTACATTGGATTTCTTCTTTTCATGGTTTGTTTATTTATTAAATAGACAAAAAGAAAAACTCTAACAAATAACCATAAAGATAAATTTGAACAAACAATATTTCAAATGTTGCCATTCATTTTATGCAAAGTATAATTTAAAAAAATTGATTAGCTTCTGTAAGTAACGGTTCTAAATAAAGTGCACGTTATGTTAATCATTCTTCAAAAATTGATCATTAGCTTTAAAACGAAAATTATGTTTTGATGAAAATATTAACACGGTCTTAAATATACATTTAAAATTGATAAAAAGGGGGACTTTGTAAACTCATGATTATTTTTTAAAATGGTGAACAATGTAATCACTTTTTACTGTAGTCGAAGTTCTTTTATATTGTCGGGATGCTTTTTCTCGGTAAGCATCCCAGTACCGTGTCGGGAATAAGCATCCCGACACTGTATCAGGAATAAGCATCCCGACAACATAAAAGTTCTCGTGTGACTAAAAATAAAATATGGACAAAAAATTAATAGGGTGATTGCATTTATTTGGGTTCTCATGGTTTGATATGCATATATTTACACCGCTTTGTACACTCATTAGATTGAGGGGGTCACATGAAATGCACAACAAAAGGTCTTAATTTACAATTCACATTATCAAAGCAAGCACGTGCAAGACACGTGCTGCAAATACTAGTACAAACATAAAAGAGACAAAAGTGGTTTTCGCCCTTTCTTTCATGTGTCATTCCTATGTGTGATCTTTTTTTTTTCTTTTTTCTTTTCAATTCTTTCTTCCGCCATCTCTCTCACATCGTTTCACCTCGTTTTTTTTTTCCCCCTTCTTTGCTACAAAACATTCTCTCTATCATATCTTGCCTCTTCATCAAAATTTTTACCTTTCAAATGTAGATCTCGAAATTCAAATTCCTGTCGATCCATGATCCACCTGGCACGCCCAATAATCACAGCCTCGCCGTTTCTCTTCAAACCGAGGCGCAGACAATAGAGAGGAAGATGAGGACAGTGGTGAATTTAGTGCGGACGATGATGTTTTGGTGTGGGTTGTAACGGCAGCCTCAAAAATTTTAAAAAGAGTAACTTGAGTTACAATTTTATTCAAGTTTATATTTTTTAAAATTTAAACTCGAGTTTGAACTCGAATTTGAACTCGAATTTGAGACTAAAACTTGAATTTAAGTTTCCTTTTTAACTCGAATTTAGAAACTCGAACTTAAATTAATAAACAATATTTTTTCTATTCTTAGAAATGCTATAACTTTTTCGTTTTAATTCTAATTGAGATAATTTTTTTTCTATGTGTTGACAACGAAAAAACGAATAAAACCTCACTCATATACCTTATTAAAATTTTTCATCACCATTGAGTTTTTATTAAAATACGATCTAAATACAAATTCAAGTTTTGACTCACTCAAACACAAATTCAAAAAGATTTTTATCTCAAATCATAACTCAAATGTACACAACTAAATACAAACTCAAATTACAACTTCAACTCAAATTATAACTCAAACTCAACTCAAAATTTTCACTCAAGAATGTCTAACTCAAAATATGAAAAGAACAACCCCTTAACTTTTCGAACCGTTACTTAACATGGGACAAAGATGTTTCGGTGTGAGATTGTAATGACCCGATTTTTTAGACTGTTACTTAATATGCTTAACTTATATTTTTAAGTCTAAACATTTCCTTGGATGCTAGAAATTCAAAGATATAAATTTTTTTTACTTATATCACTCAAAACTTTGAAATTATTAATTCAAATATATACAAACTTATCGAAAACTATAATAACAATATATCAAGCGGAAACTTAAAATTCAAAAAGACTAATAGAAACGCATCTTGCGAAATTATGTGTCTCACAACAACAAGATCGACTCTTCTAAGCGTTGGCTTAGTGTTGTTTGGTATTGTTTCTAATTGTTTTTAAAAATATTTTTGGACTTTTATTTTAAAAATAAAAATGAACACAAAAATAAAAAAATAATGAGAATGATTTTGTTAAAGAAATAGAAAATAGAAAATAGTTTAAAGTTTTTTCACTTTTTTATAGTCTATATAACCAAACACAATTTTACTTTTTTATACATATACCAATCTCTGAGAAATATAATCAAACGTAATTTTAGAAACAATCTTAGCGCTGTTTTTAAAATTTTTCATTTTTATTTTCATACTCAAAATAAATCATTTAAAACGTTACCAAACAGATCCTATTAGTTATTAAAATATGGATATCAATCTTCTTTTTTCTTAAAAGGCCATAATTTTAAAGAAAATAATAAGGGATTTGTGTCCACCAAATATAAAGGGATTTACTTTTCTAACTAAGGTAAGGTGAATGATTTTATTAAAAAACGCGGAATGTAAAATGATTTATTTTTCAACTTACGTAGAAAGCGTGATTAAAAAAAGTTCGATGTAAAAGAGTCCTTTTTCTTTTAGAAAGGTTTTAGAAAGGACTACAATCATAGGATATCCTTTTACTAGTAATACGCGTTTTTAAGTTTCAACCATATTGAAAAAGTGTAAAGTCAAAATACTGTACGAGTAGGACGAAAATGATAAAATTTTAGCAGTTAGAAGTTTTTTTTGAGAAAAATATTTTTACCCCTTTCAATAAAAAAATACTTTGAAAAACAAAAAACAAAAAAATCCTCACCACTTAAAGAAAAAAAAAAAGACACAAAGGCATTTTTCTATTTCTTGATTTGTTATTATCTTTAGAATGTTATGTATTATATTTTGAGTTTTTATTTAAAAGGTATAAAGAATACGCTATTAAATCTTGTTACTTGTGTTTTATCGATTAAATAGATCGGATACTTTAGGTCTCGTTTGATTCTAATACTTGAATTTATAATTCTAATTTTACTACAGTGTTTTTTATCTCATAAAGAATTTAAATTCAAAAATTTCTCCTCTCACAAAATTTATACTAATAAATCAGAATTACTGACTTAAATACGTGAACCAAATGGACCTTTAATATTTATACGAATATTTTTTTTTCTTTTCTTTTTTTTATTGTTAAAGAATGAAGACTCTTTGAATACATTGTGCCCTATTTTAGTATATAAAATGTCAGTCATACAGTCTAAAAACATATTAAGTTTTATCAAACCACTTAATTTATCATACCTAATTGTGGTTTTTCGTTTCTTATCTTTTTTTTGTTTGGTTTCTTGTTCTGCAAGTCAAATAAGTCTAATGATGGTTGTTTTGCAACAAAAGGGTTCCTAGTAGCTGATCTCTTTGAGTACCTTAAGACTCGTTTGGTATGAGGATTCAAACTATGGTGATTCTAATTATGATTCTAGAACCTGAACTATGATTTATGATTTTGGGTTCAAATCATGATTCAGAATTAGGGGTTTGAATCACTTTGAATCAAGAGGGGGATTTTTTTAGAATCACTCATGATTTTAGTTTAAAACATCACATCAGATTCTGAATCATCCAAACTAAACACTGATTTTGAATCAGGATCCATAATCATGATTTTGAATCCATCTACCAAACGCCCACTAATCGATCACCATTCTACATCAAGATCCTGACCAACTGGATATCGCCACTTATGTTGTGCTAGCCACGTAGGAGCTATCGAATCTACTGGATTCAAATAATTTTTTAATTTAAATAAAAATAAAAGATGTATAAATCTTCGAAAACAAGATACTCAAAGGGAGTTTCTCTTAAATTTAATATGGGATACAAATTTAGTAGTATCTAAACATTGAACCACTAATATTCTAATTTAATAAAAACTACATTCTCAAGATGTAACCTTGTCACTGATTTTTGAACTTTCGAAAAGTGAGCTGTAATTTTGAGGTATATTGAGTAATGATTTAATTTTTGACGGCATAAAAAAAAAGATCAATGGCGTCTTCGTAGTTCACACCCTTATTCTAGCGACCACTTGGCAATTACTAGAATTGAAGGTGAAAGGAAAAGAAACTTGGCCCATACTTTTGGCAACTAGCATTTAAGAAGTTCAAAGTCACACTAGCTCAAGCCGTATTCAACATGTTTATAAGAGAGAGTCCATTTGGTAAATAGGTTCAAAATATGGTAGTTTCTTTTGTGGTTTAGAGTGAAAAGTTTGAGATATGTGGTTTGAATTTTGGTTCAAAACATTAAAAACAGGAGGGGAGGGAGGTTAAACCGGATCTCAAAAAGTTTTACTGAACTTTGGTTCGAAACTTCTTAATTCAAACTACTTGAACCTGTTTACCAAACGACACTATAACTTCAGTCTCTTTGCCAAAAATAAGAATCGACCTAACCTTGATACATCATCTTTCATCGTTATGACATGATCGATATTCACGATTTTATTTTGTAAACACCGTAACTGAGGTATTAATACTCCAATGTGATAAAACATAAGGTCACTTTTAGTTCATCGATTAAAGTTTTTAATTTGAGTTGAGATGTGATTTTATGTAAGAATTTTTAACTGTAGTAAAAATAATAAATTTAACTTTTTATGTGAATTTTTAACTGTAATAAAAATAAAATTAAAAATTTAAATTTGTGAAATGAACAAACGAAGAAAAAGGAAAGAAAGAAAGTAGAACGAGAGGGTGAGGGCAAACCGGCATTGTTGAGGGGGTGCGTCCCCATTGAGATGACAAACAAACAATAATTAAAGGAGGCAAAATGGGAAATGATTACGGCGGGAGTGATGGGGGGCACAAGAATGATGAGGGAAGAAAGTCTTTTCTTCTCCGACTTTGCCTTTGCCCCTTTTGGCCCCATTTTTCTCTCTCTCTCCCCCAATTTCAATCTCAATAATAACTCCAAAACAACTGGCGGTGCAAATTAACAATAACCCCACAATAAAAATTTCAAATAAAATATATATTAATCTCTCTGTTTTTTTTTTTAAATAAAACCGGGAATTCTTTTAGTAACCTGTAATCATATCGTGACCCATCAAATTTCCTTAATATAAAAAGGATGTACAAATTAATTTTTCTTATAATAATATGCAGATTCTTTGGCTTTGAATAAATGTTCGTGTCATGTCGGAAATAATTGGTTTAAATATTTGTACACGGAAAGAAATTAAAAACAAAAAACAGATTGTATAGAAAAGACTTTTTTTCTTTCATGCTCTCCTCTTTTTCCTCTTCTTCTTCTTCTTCTTCTTCTTGTACACAGATCTTGAGCTTGATCTTCATTGTTTTTTCCAATTTGGGTTTACTTAATTTCAACTTTTTGCTTTGCCTTTTCTGAAATTGAAGCTTTATTGATTGGATCGAGAAAGGAGATTGATTATCTGAGAAAAAAAAAGTGTGGAAAGAGAAGAACCCAGTAAAGGGTTTGGCACACTGAAGAAGAAGCTTAAAAGCTCTTTTTTCCCCTTTTATTACAGGTTTTTGAGTCATTTGAGAAGCTTTTGAATTCTGAGTTTTGGGTTTTGGGTTTTGGAATATGGGTCTTGCTGTTTTTTTCTGAATTCAGCTTCACCAGATTGGCTCAGAAGGCTTTATAGGGAAGAGAGAGAGAGAGAGGGAGAGAAAGGGAGAAGAAAAGATTGAACTTTAAAAGGTAAATATTATAACTCAGTTAAGTTATTGTCATTTGATTCAATCTGACTTTTGTTTTTATTGTGTTATTGTTCATTTAGTTTCAGCTATGACTTATGATATAGTTTAGTACTGCTAATTAATAGCATGGAGAAAAATTGGGTGTGCCAAAAATGTTGCTTAGAGAAAAAGAAATGTGACCACTTTGAATAATATTTGCAGATTAAGTTGGGTTCCTGATTGATCTTGTGAGATTTTGTGCAGATCACATTATCCTCAGTTAAGTGTACATTATTTGGGCCTCATTGAAAAGCAAAGCTAATTTTGTTTTTGCTTTTTTCTTGGCATTTTGTTCATCAGTCTGATCATAGACAAAGAAATTAGTGTTTGAAGCCCCATGAATTGGATGTGCAATTGATGTTGGTTTAGTTCAGACTAGCACTGTTTTGAAAAAGGGTTGACTGATAATAGAAAGGCATCGATCTTTTGAGATTACTGACATGGGGTGTCAATGCTCCAAACTGAATCCATGCTGCTGGGATTCACAATTCAAAGCAGCTGTACTTGAAGCTCCAGACGTGGGTGGGTTAATGATAATCATTGCCATGTTTTATTTATTTAGTTTTTGGGGTGGAAAAATGAAATAATAGCTGATGTTTAATGGATCTTTGTTTTGTTTTTTGTGGCAGAGAATGAGGGGAATAGTGAGGTTGATGATATACCGGCATTTCGCGAATTCACGTTCGAGCAGCTAAAAAATGCAACATCCGGTTTTGCAGTGGAGAATATTGTATCTGAGCATGGTGAGAAGGCACCAAATGTTGTCTACAAGGGGAAACTGGAGAATCAAAGGAGAATTGCTGTCAAACGCTTTAATAGAATGGCTTGGCCTGATGCCCGGCAATTTCTGGTTTACATTCTACAACTTTTTTTTAGCATTTTATCTTTTTCAAATTGTTCTTTGAACTTCAATGTATGGGATTGGGGGTAGGAGTTCATCAAGACTTATTGCACCACTCGTTATTCATCTTATGTATGTGTTGGTACATTTATGTATAGTAACTAAGCATCGATTTTCTCGATGGTTTACGCTCTTTCTTTAGCTGTAAGTCTTAGAAAATCCAGGTTTTTTGAAGTCTCCACCTTGTTATCTTTGTGACCGAGTACGTGCAGTTTGCCTCCTTCTTAGCTTGGTGTTTTTGATTCTATTTGCTGTGCTATATCTGCTTGACTGCTTGTTAAACTCCGTATAAGGATGTAAAGTTCAACAGCTGCCATTTAGTCCATCCAGTTTGGTCTTTCACCATAGTTTCTATCTCATTCTGATCAATTATATTGATTTCTTCTCTCGTAGTTTTGTAAGTTCACCAATGCAATAAGGAATAGTGCGTTTCCTCTTTTCCCTTTCAACACGTCATTGATGTAAAAGTTTCCTTTTCTTTTGCTATTGAGGCAAATCATTCTTCTACTCCATTCATAATATTATCAATCGTGATGACTTTTTGTTTTGTGCAACTGTAGGAAGAAGCAAGATCAGTTGGTCAGCTCCGCAACCAGAGATTGGCAAATTTGCTTGGCTGTTGTTATGAAGAGGACGAGAGGTTGCTTGTTGCGGAATTTATGCCCAATGAAACACTTGCAAAACATCTTTTTCACTGTAAGGCTTAGTCCTCGTGCATTTGTTGTTCTTTATGTCCATTGATTGAAACTCATTTAGGTGGAATACGGTTCTGTAGGCACCAACTCTTTTAACAAGGGCCATTGCTATGCCCATGGCTGCGTTTAAAATCTTCTAAATATGTATATTTCCCAAGTTTTACTTAAGTTGGTTGCTGGTCCGGTTCTACATTTGACAGTGGTTGCTAGCGTGTCAACATTTTCTTCTAATTATTACAATTTAGTTGAAGTGTTTCGTTGGATTAGTTAAATTGTTGATTACTTGATAAAATTGTTTTCTTTTTAGGAAGTCACATTTGGTTACCATAATGTCTAGTTCCTGATTGTCAGTTGCGATTTCTTCATTGATCAGTTCTTAATGGCGATCTCATTTGCATGAAAAGTCATGTGAGTGGGTCCAACAACACAGTCCTTTTTTTAAAATTTGTTTTCTTAAATTTCTTTGGAATATATCTTTGTAGTTAAAATTGTGTAGAGATTGTCCTCATCATCTTCTCTATGTAAAGTGACTTCATTACTTCTTGAGTCAGGGGACAAACAGCCCATGAAATGGCCAATGCGATTGAGGGTTGTTCTACATCTTGCACAAGCTTTGGAGTACTGCACAAACAAAGGACGGGGCCTTTATCATGACCTTAATGCTTATAGAGTTTTATTTGATGAGGTTCGTTCCTTCCATATTTTGAACCAGTTTCCTTGGCAGATTCTGCTTGCATTCCTAGACTATGAGTTTTCGTATTTTGCAGGATGGAAATCCTAGACTTTCTAGCTTTGGCCTGATGAAAAATAGTAGGGATGGGAAAAGTTATAGTACAAATCTGGCGTTTACTCCTCCTGAATACCTGAGAACTGGTATGCAACCCCTATTGAAAAAAAATATTGACTTGTGGATTAGTATTTTTTCAAGGTTATGATTACTGGAGAGTGGAGGCTAAGATATTCTACATTTGTTTGTTTGTTTGGCCTTTTCTTTTTCTTTTTTTCTTTTTCTTTGTCTATAGGGAGAGTGACACCTGAAAGTGTAATATACAGCTTCGGTACTCTCTTGCTTGATCTTCTCAGTGGAAAACACATCCCCCCCAGCCATGTAAGTTTATAAACATATTTAAATGACTAAACGTACACAACCGTGTATGTAAAGCAAATACATAACCTTATCTCTACAACTTCAGCATTTCTATGTACTAGTCTTTTTTTTTTTTAATTGTTCTGCAAATCTTCTTTGTGCCCAACACTGGATAAATAATTTCATCTAATGGCTGAGGAAATATCGCAGGCTCTTGACCTTATACGAGACAGAAATCTTCAGATGCTAACAGATTCTTGCTTGGAAGGGCAGTTTTCTGATAATGATGGTACAGAATTAGTACGATTGGCATCGCGATGTTTACAGTATGAACCCCGAGAACGGCCAAATCCAAAGTCACTAGTTACTGCATTGACTCCTCTTCAGAAAGAAACTGAGGTCAGTTCCTCTCTCTCCCTCTTTCTGTGGAAAAATTCCATTAAGAAAGTCTAAGCTGGTAGGAGTAATATGACACTGTGCTAGATTTTGTTATGGAAGTTTAAAGACTGCTAATCCTAATAGAGGGATTTTCTAATGAAATCCTCTTATACGTTGACTTTATTAGTTATTGCTGTCAAGGAGGTTGACCAACTGCCTTGTTCTTTGCCTTGTCATAGTTTGTTGTTCAGGTTTCCTATGTTGCAATTTGTCCCTCCTTGGTTCTTGCAGTATAGTTGCAATCGGGAGCTTAAACATTTTCTTGATGCTTGGTGTGGAGCATACGTCTCAGAAAACATCTCTGACAATTTCTTTCTGGTTCTAGACTTCTAGTTTAGGAACCTGGGATTTGGTTTGGGATAGCATCAAAAAAATTGCAATAATGTGATGCATCATGCGTGCATTATGTTAGGGTTGTAAAGATCCTGGCAATATTCCTTTTCCGCGTGATATTCATAATCCACTTTGGGATTTAAGCTCATCCTTTTGGTAGCTTTATTTTTATAAAATCTCACTCCGCCACACGTTGCAGGTTCCTTCCTATGTCTTGATGGGTATTCCGCATAGTGGCTCATGCTCTCCACTTTCACCACTCGGCGAGGCTTCCTCAAGAGGGGACTTGACTGCTATACATGAGGTCTTAGAGAAGATTAGCTATAAAGATGATGAAGGGGTGGCAAACGAGGTTCTGTAGTTGTTTCACTTAATACGTGCTTTAATCATTTTCTTGGTTTGTTTAGTATTTGATTTAAGCGGTTCCAATCTTGCTCATGCTCATACATGAAGCAGCTATTGGATTTTCTTATTTTTCTTTTCCATCTCCTTTTTGTGATTGGAACTGGCCACTTGTTCTTTGTTTCTTCAACTTCTGTCCTAGTATGCAAAAACAAAGGTGGTGATAGCTGAAATGTATTTCTACTTTTGTTTGGTTGCAGCTCTCATTCCAAATGTGGACCGACCAAATGCAGGAAACTCTAAATTCAAAGAAAAAGGGTGACGTTGCATTTAAGCAAAAGGATTTCGGAATGGCTATCGAGTGTTATTCACAGGTAAGGCTCTTATTATGAGAATTTTGCTAAATTCTCTCTGAATTATAGCAGATTGCTTCCCCATGTCCTTGGTTTATGATGTAGGCTATTACAGAAAATGACCTCCTTATGCATGAGGTCTCAAACATCTAATCAGTTGTCTTTTGGACGTGATATTGATATGCGATTGTTTGCCCTTTCATATTCAACTTGTAGTTCATTGATGTTGGAACCATGGTCTCTCCAACTGTTTATGCACGGCGTAGCTTGTCTTATCTCATGAATGACATGCCTCAAGAAGCTCTGAATGATGCGATGCAAGCTCAGGTTGTTTCGCCTGTGTGGTACGTTGCTTCCTATCTGCAGGCAGCTGCCCTCAATGCACTTGGAATGGAAAACGAAGCGCAGGCAGCGCTGAAGGAGGGCTCGACTCTTGAGGCGAAGAGGAATGCTACTGCCGGCCAGAAGTGAGAATACCGGGGGGGTTCAAATGGTTTTTGTCTTCCACAAAGGCGGACAATGCATCATTTGATTCCATTCAAATGCCATAGAAAAGCAATTCTTCTGGTGCTACGACAGCATCAACTGGCTTGAAGAGTCCTCGGAGAGAACAATTTTTAAAAGCAGTGTGGATTTTTTCCATTTTTCTAGTGGGCTTTATTCTATTTAATTTTGTTATTATTATTTTTATTTGCTTATTCTTTGTTCGATTTGATTTCTTATGTATGTGAGGATACCATAAATGCATTTTTTGAAAATAAAAAAGAACAGAAGGAAAAAAATGTATGACAATGAGCTGAAGTTGAAAAGTCGTCCACAAGCTTGTAATTTGTGTACAGATGCTACGCATGATTTTCTTTGCTATGCTATTGCCTTTTTTCACTATTATCGGTTGATCCCCCCGCTCTCTCTCACATTAATATTTTTGCAGTATCACTTCTGCCGCTCAACAAGGACACACGAATGCAGATACAGCTTAAAAGTAATTCGTAACCATAACTTAACAGTAATTCCATATTTATTGTGTAGGTGATGTCAATCTGCTTTAGTATAATAACTAGTGGATTAGCCGTGCATTTGCATAATTTAAATAAAAAAATGTATAAAAACACACACACACATATATATATATATATTTCTAAGTTGCTGTAAATTTGTAACACATATATACACATTTATTTATATGTTTACCTTTGTAAATAAAAATATACATACTTATTTACATATATATAGAGATTTATTCATATATTTATTTCTTTTTGCTTATGCTTGTTGTTTCTTCTGAGCTGCAGTTAAGAAAAAAGGAAATAGTAAAATAGTTATTATTAAATTGTAACAAATGTTAATAATTGTGTGCATATTTGTATATGAAATTTTGATAGTGATACATTGTAATAACATTGTTCCATTTCTTTGGATATTCTATGGAAGTAACATATATTGTTTACATATTATTTACAATGAAACTGTAAATGTCACATAAAAATGTCCTGTGCATAAAAAAAAGTTAGAAAAAGGTAGTAAAGGAAAAAAATGGTTCAGGTTTTATATCTTTTATTGGTAACAACATATATGAGGGAATTTTCAATTACAATTTTTTCTTAAAGAGTAACTGCAATATTTACCACTGAATTCAATTGAGTCCGTGAATCTAAGAAATAGTGAGAATTCTTGATCTCTCTCAATATTTCTCTCAATTCGGAAATCCAGGAGCATCAAGAAAAAGAAGAAAGATAAAATCTCAAAAATCTCATATAAAATAGCATATTATGTGAATAATACTAAAGAAGAAATAGATAGGAAAATTAAATAGACAAATATAAAGAATTTAGTTCAGATATTTGCCTTTAAATGCTAACATCACATATTAGAAATAACTGAAATAGGATTTAACAATGCTCTTCAGTACCAACTAAATTATTAAAAAGATTTATGAAAAATAATTTGGAAAAAAGAAATGAAGAAGAAAAGAACAAAACAAAAATAGAATAGTAAAAGGAAAAAATAGCTTAGGTATCTATGTTTTACTGCTAACAACATATACCAACAAAATTATTAGAGGATTTGTACTAAAGACAGAAAAAAGATTAGACAACATAAATAGTACAGACAAATATAAAAAACATAAGAGGGTATTTATAATCGTCACTGAAACCAATCCCAAAAAAGTCACTCAAATATTTGAGAACAAAACAAATCAATCCCAAAAGATTAACCGAAATATTTGAGAATAAAACAAAAACAAAAGAAAAAAAATATTGCAATGGTAAAAAAGGAAGTAAATAAAATCTCAAAAACTTCATAAACATAAAAATAAGTTAAATTGACGAACCAACAACAGAGGTAGGAGTAAAAGAGTAGAACGAAAACCCTTCAGTAAAATCAGATAAAGAAGAAACCATTTTAGAGTAGAAAATGACAATAAGAACAACAAATTGTTGACAAAATAGGATAACTAAAACAACATAAATCTTAAATAATTCAGGCAACGTCAAAGCTTGCTAAATCACACTATAAACAGTTATTTAATACATGGTAACAATAAAAGGAAAATACTACATCATTACCACATGAGAAATCATATTAGATAGAGAACAGAGTGTTCACAGATTAATATAACAAATAGAATAGAAATCTAATTTTTACTCAAATAACAATAACTTACGTAATATAAACACTAAACAATTTTTTACAAACAATATTAACAAACTTAATACAAACATAATTATAATTACATAAAACAGTGACCACATATATTAACAACTCAATATATACACTTAAGAAATCATAGTAATATAATATATAAAATTTTAAGAGCAGTTAGAAATAACGTGGAAGAAGTAAGAAAGAAGTACCTTAGAGCAAAGAAAATTTTCAAAAACAACCTTTTCCTAAAGAGTGACTACAATATTTGAGAAGAAAAAAAAATGAAAATATGAAGAAAATGTTAAAAAACTAAAAATCAAAACTTAAGAGTTTCTTTTTAACGTTAACAACGACAACAGGAAAGCAACAAATATTGTAGTGGTAAAAAATCAAGGGGAATATAGCATGAAGAAAAATAAGAAGGATAAAATATTAAAAATCTTATGTAAAATAGTAGATTACATGAATAATAGTAAAAAAGAAATAGATAGGGAAATTAAATAGACAAATATAAACAATTTGGTTCAAGTATTTGCCTTTAATTGCTAACATCACGCATTAGAAATAACTGAAATAAGATTTAGCAATGCCCTTCAGTACCAACTGAATTATTAAAAAGATTTATGAAGAATAAGAAGGAAAAAAGAAATGAAGAAAAAAAGAATGAAACAAAAATATAATAGTAAAAGAGAAAAATGGGTTAGACCAAAACCAATCCCTAAAAAGTAACTCAAATATTTGAAAATAAAACAAATCAATCCCAGAAGACTAACTGAAATATTTGAGAACAAAACAAAGAGAATAGAAAAAGAAGAAATATTGCAGTGGTAAAAAAGTAAGGAAGTAAATAAAATCTCAAAAAGTTCATAAACATAAAAATGAGTTCAATTGGCGAACCAACAACAGAGGCAGCAGTAAAAGAATAGAACGAAAACCCTTCAGTAAACTCAGATAAAGAGTAAACCATTTTAGAGTAGAAAATGATAATAAGAGTAATATACTGTTGACAAAACAGGATAAATAAAAGAACATAAATCTTAAATAATTCGGGCAACGTCAAAGCTTGCTAAATCACTATAAATAATTATTTAATACATGGTAACAATAAAAGAAAAATACTACATCATTACCAAATGAGAAATCACAATAGATAGAGAACATAGTGTTGACAGATTAATATAATAAATAGAATACAAACTTAATTTTTACTCAAATAGCAATAACTTATATAATATAAACACTAAAGAATGTTTTACAAATAATATTAACAAACTTAATACAAACATAATCATAAAACATAAAACAATGAGCACATATATTAACAACTCAATATATACAGTTAAAAAATCATAGTAATATAATACATACAATTTTAAGGGCAGTTAGAAATAACTTGGAAGTAAGAAAGGAGTACCTTAGAGTAATAACAAAAGTGGATAGAGTTGATGCAGGAGAAGTAAAAAAACTCCAAAACATGATAATGGAAAAGGAAAAAAAACTCACTATTGAAAATTGAAGAAAAGAAAGGAAATAGAGAAGATAGATGATAAGTGTATGACAACGAAAACAGAAACAAAGCAAAAGACAGTAAGCATGAAAGAGAAAACAATATATTTATACAAAGAAAATAAAGTTTTGAGCATGTGGTGGTAGCAAATACTAGAAACAAAACTTAATACTATTGTTGTTACGCTGTAAACAAAATGTAGGGGTTATTCTTTTGCAACAAAACTAAGAAAAAATTTAAACTCAAGTTACAACTTTATTCAAGTTCACGTTCTTTTAAGCTCTAACTTTATTTAACTTTACTCAACTTTATTCAAGTTACAACTTTAACTCAAGTTATAACTCAAATTCAACTAAAAAACTACACTCAAGTTACACTCCAAAAGAATAACCCCGTAATAATTTGTTAAAAACAAGTGTTACGCTGCATGATAACTACCGCAGAACAGAACAAATAACCTGCAGACAGTGAAAACAAAATAATCCGTTGGAAAAAATTTCCCTACACTAAAAACCTACACTAAAAATAAATGTCTAAATATTCCCGACTAATATAACCAGTAAACAAATATGAAAACATGTAATAATTAGTAAAAACAGGTGTTAGACAACGTAATAACCAACAAACGGATAAAAAATAACTGAAATAGAGAAAAGAGGAAAAAAATAAAAGAAAAATAGATTATTTCCAAGTCCTAATGAAAAAACAACCAAAATAGAGAAAAGAAGGAAAAAATAAAAGGAAAATGGATTATTTCGAAGACCTAAATGACCAAACACAAAAAAGAAACAAAATAAGGAAAGAAAAAAAAAAGAAATAACAAAACCTCAAAATGAAATAGAAGTAAAAAAAAAATTGACAATGAAATCTTAAAAATTTGACAGAAAAGAAAAACGAAATCTATTCTGAACGATAAAAAAAAGGAACGAAGAACAGATCAAAATAAACTATACAATACTACTAAAACAAAACAAATCTGGAAATAAAAACCGAATCAAAAAAGAGGAAAAAAACTAACAAATAACACTAACAAATAACGGATCTAGAAATAAAAACACTAACAGATCTGGAAAAATGGAAATAAAAAACCGAAAAAAATGAAGCCAAATCTACAAAAACACTAACATATCTGGAAAAATGAAAAGAAAAATGAATTTAAAAAACAAGGAAAAAAGAAGCAAAAACACTAACAGATTTGGAAAAACGGAAAAAAAAAACCGAATTAAAAAACGGAAGAAAAAACGAAGCCAAATCTATAAAAACACTAACAAATCTGGAAAAACGGGAGAAAAATAAATCGAATCAAAAAATAGGGAAAAAATGAAGTTAGGTCTAAGAAAAGAGAAACGAAAAATAAAACTACAAAACAAAACAAACATAAAAATGATTCCCAGAAGCCTTACGAAAAGAAAGAAAGAAAGAAGGGAAAAAATGCACAAAACAGGGAAAAAAACGATGCCAAATCTAAGGAAAGAGAAACAAAAAACAAAACTACAAAACAAAAAAAAATATAAAAAATGAATCCCAGAAGCCTTACGAAAAAGAAAAAAAAAAAAGAAGGAAAAAAAGCACAGAAATTACCAAATCCAGAAGCTTGACGGAAAGAAACGGCGAGAAAACCAAACAAACAAACAAAAATTAATCCCAGAAACCTCACGAAAAGAAAGAGGAAAAAAGAAAAATAATAAATGGACATAAATGAAGAAGTCCAGAACTTTCGCAATGAGAAAAGCAACCGGAATTTT